CGCTGGCCGTGTCGGTGGAGCCGCACCGGCACGAGGGCGTCTTCATCTACCGCGGCGCCGAGGACGCGCTGGTCACGCTGAACATGGTGCCCGGCCAGTCGGTGTACGGCGAGCGGCGCGTCACGGTGACCGAGGGCGGCGTGAAGCAGGAGTACCGCACGTGGAACCCGTTCCGCTCCAAGCTGGCGGCCGCCATCCTGGGCGGCGTGGACCAGATCCACATCAAGCCCAAGGCCAAGGTGCTGTACCTGGGCGCGGCGTCGGGGACCACGGTGTCCCACGTCTCCGACATCATCGGGCCCGACGGCCTGGTCTACGCGGTCGAGTTCTCCCACCGCGCGGGCCGCGACCTGGTCAACGTGGCCAAGAAGCGCACCAACATCATCCCGGTCCTGGAGGACGCCCGGCACCCGCTCAAGTACCGCATGCTCATCGGGATGGTGGACGTGATCTTCGCCGACGTGGCCCAGCCCGACCAGTCCCGCATCGTGGCCCTGAACGCCCACACCTTCCTGCGCAACGGGGGTCACTTCCTCATCTCCATCAAGGCCAACTGCATCGACTCCACCGCCTCGGCCGAGGCCGTGTTTGCCTCCGAGGTGAGGAAGCTGCAGCAGGAGAACCTGAAGCCCCAGGAGCAGCTGACCCTGGAGCCCTACGAGAGGGACCACGCCGTGGTCGTCGGGGTCTACCGGCCCCTTCCCAAGAGCAGCAGCAAGTAGGCCCGGCCCGGCTCCCCTGCGTCTCCCCGGGACTGTGCTGTCTTCGCTGTTATTCTGGATGGTTGCTCTGTGTGCGTTTTGTTCTGTTGCTTTTCTATTAAATGGCGTCAAGACACGGTGCCCATCTGTGTGCTGGTGCCAGGCTAGGTTGCTGCGGTAACAATCAATCCCCAAGTTCAAGGGGCCTCAAACTGCCCATCCAGTAACGGCTGGGTAGCTGTGCTCTTTCTGATCACTCGGAGGCCTGACCACCTGGGGCCCATTTTCACACATGCTTCCTCTATAACAAGGGCAGGGGCAAGAGAACCGGAGAGTTGCTAATGAGCTTTTATCCATGTATTTGTTTATTTTTGTAGATACAGGTCAGGCTGTACTGCCCAGGCTGATCTTGAACTCCTGGCCTCAAGTGATCCTCCTGCCTCAGCCTCCCAAAGTGCTGGGATTCCAAGTGTGAGCTACCACACCTGGCGCCATGAGTTTGTATTTACTTTTATTGTGTACTTATTTGAGACAGTGTCTTGCTGTCACCCAGGCTGGAGTACAGTGGTGTAATTATGGGTCACCACAGCCTCAAATTCCTGGGCTTAAGGACCCTCTTGTCTCAGCCTCCTAAGTAGCTGGGACTACAGGCATGTCCCAGTATGCCCGGCTAATTGGTGGTTGTTGTTTTTTTACACACACACCCCCCCCCCCGCCACCGCCCCCACTTGATTTTTTGTGGAAATGGGGTCTCACTATGTTGCCCAAGCTGGTGTTGAACTCCTGACATCAAGCAATCCTAGGAACAGATGGGGCACTTCTGTTCACCCTGGCCAACCCTGACTCCAGGGGAGGGTACAGGATATTGATGGACAGTAGTTTAGTCAAACATACCTGATCCGTCCGACTCAAAGCCAGGGTCTTAACTACAGTAAGGTTTCCGTCCTTTACTCTTAAACGAAGCCCTTTTTGTGTTCACAATTACATTTGATCATCACACCAGCCTTGAGATGACTTTGGTACTGTTTTCATATCACGTGTGAAGCAACTGGGTTTCTGAAGGTAAACTGATTTCCCAAGCTTACACAGCCAGTGGGGAGGGAGAACTGAAACGTCAGCCTTTGGGGCCCTGAGTCCAGCGCTGTTCCCTCAGCACCAGTGGGACCTTGGGTCTTCCCCTCCTCCCGCCCCGTGGCGTGCATGGGGGCAGGGCTTGGTGGCCTCGTGGAGTTCTTTTTCCCCAGCCCCCTGGGCTACCCCTTTCTTGGTTTTTACAATAGCAAAACAAGGCAGGAGGACAGGATGTGGGTCCACCTAGCAGGCTGTCCCCACTGCTGGGCATAACATACCCAAGGTGGCATCACCAGGTTTGCGAAACAGCCAGACACATTACTCCCAGAAAGCGACTGTGTCCACAGGGCACTTCCTGCAGACCCCAAGACGCGGGACTCAGTGTGTGGGATTCTGGCTCTCTGAACCAGCCCAAAGGGAGCACAAGTGTGAGCAGTCCCAGGAGAGCTGGGAATGCCCCAAAGCCTGGCAAGTTCCTCCAGACTAGACCTTAGAAAGGCCTTCCATTTGTTCTTTTTTTTTTTTTTTTTTGAGTTGGAGTCTCACTCTGTCGCCCAGGCTGGAGTGCAGTGGTACACTCACAGCCACTGCAACCTCCACTGCAGCCTCAGCCTTCCAAGTAGCTGGAGCTACAGGTACATGCCACCACACCTGGCTTATTTTTTTATTTATTGTAGAGACGAGGTCTCACCAAGTTGTCCAGGCTGGTCTCGAACCCGTGGGCTCAGGCAGTCCTCTCGCCTCTGCCTCCCAAAGTGCTGGGATTACAGCCATGAGCCACCGTGCCCAGCCAAGCCTTTCATTTATTCATGCACTCAAGTACTCCAGAAATCCCCATTGCCAAGTGCTAAAGCCATCAGCATCTATTCTGGGAATGACAGCTCACTAGCACATCATTCTGGGAGTGGGGAGTCACCTTCCAAAAGAGATCCACACAATCCTTGGCTCATATTCTGACGAAGACATCGTTTGCTGTGCGTGTGTTACACGTCAGGTGCTTCCATGCACCTTGACTGACTCCATCCTCTCAAACACCGGCGGGAGGCAAGTGCTATCGCCCCCATCTCACAGGTGCAGAAACTGAGGCTCAGGAAAGTGACGAATCAGCCAAGGTAGTGTAGCTGAAAAGGGGGCGAGCTGGGGTTCTGGAGCAGAACTGTATCCCTTCTTTAAATCGGCTAAATTAAAACCAGACACTCTAGGGGAAGGCCTGACATTGGTATTTTTATGTTTTCCAGGTGATTCGAATGTGCAGCTATTTAAAACCCTATATATATATTTTTTTCTTTTTTAGAGACAAGGTCTAACCCTGTCACCCAGGCTGGAGTACAGTGGCACAATTACGGCTCACTGCAGCCTCAAACTCCTGGGCTCTAGCAATCCTCCTGCCTCAGCCTCCCAAGTAGCTGAAGCTACAGGTGCACAACACTAGACTCAAGTTAATTTTTTAAATTTTTTTGTAGGGATGGGGGGGTCTTGCTAATGTTGCCCAGGCTGGTCTTGAACTTCTGGCCTCAAGCAATCCTCCTCTTACCTGGGCCTTCCAAAGTGCTAGCATTACAGGCATGAGCTAAAACCCTGTATTATTTTTGTCATCGACTGGGAAAGGCAGATTTAGGACAGTACTTTGAATAACTAGAAGACAATAGCTTAGTATTTCTAGTACTTGCAGCCTTGGTGACAGCAGGAATGCTCCCCAAGATTCCAACGAGGAGGATAGGCGAAGTCAGTGGCAGCCAGCAACATTAATGGTGCTCCTATTCCTTGGGCACCTGGCTGTGCCTGCACCTGATCCTGTTTGTCAGGGAGAGAGCTGCATGCACAGCTGTTGGAGAAGCCAATACAGCAACAAGCCTCCCAGGCAAGAGTTAAGTCTCCAGTCACTGTGACGGTAGAAGCAAGAGTCTGAAACCAGGGCCAGCATGACTTCCTCTGCTCCACTTTCTCCCCATGAAATGGCACACCGCCAAGAGCTAGGTAGACCCCTGCAGTCAGGGTCATCTCAGTGTTGAAGGATCCCCCAACAAAAGACCCTGGCGGCTTCTTGGACCCTGAGTTAGGGAGCTGAAAGGGGGAAGGGCCGGGAGTAGAAAAGCAGTGAATGGGGAACAGTGTGCTGTTAGTCTGTTTTGTATTGCTATGAAGGAGTGCCTGAGGCTGGGGAAATCTTTTATTTATTTATTTATTTTGAGTCAGAGTCTCACTCTGTTGCCCAGGCTGGAGGGCAATGGCACGCTCCCAGCCACCGCAGCCTCGACCTGCTGGGCTTAGGTGATCCTTCCGCCTCAGCCTTCCAAGTAGCTGGAACTATAGGCGCGCACCACCATGCCCAGCTAATTTTTTGATTTATTGTAGAGACGAGGTCTTACCACGTCTTGAACCCCTGGGCTCAGGCAATCCTCTCACCTCGGCCTCCCAAAGTGCTGGAATTATAGGCTGAGCCACCATGCCCAGCCAGGCTGGGGAATTTATAAAGAGAAGGGGTTAAATTTGGCTCACGGTTCTTCAGACTGCACAAGAAGCATGTTGCCAGCATCTGCTGGGCTTCTGGTGAGGCCTCAGGAGGCTTACGGTCATGGCAGAAGGCAAAGGGTGAGCAGTTATGTCGAATGGCAGAAAAGAAGCAAGAGAGAGAAAGGAGGTGCCAGATCCCCCTACCTTATTTTTTTTTTTTTTGAGTCAAGGTCTCACTCTGTTGCCCCAGGCTGAAGGCTGGAGTGCAGTAGCACCATCACAGTTCACCCACAGCCTCAACTCCTGGACTCAGGTGATCCTCTTGCCTCAGCCTTCTGAGTAGCTGGGACTACATGTGCGTGACACCATGCCTGATTAGTTTTTTTTTTTGAGTTGGAGTCACTCCATCGCCCAGGTTGGGGTGCAATGGCACACTCACGGCCACCCCAGCATCCACCCGCTGGGCTCCAGCGATCCTTCCGCCTCAGCCTTCCAAATAGCCGGAACTACAGGTGTACACTACCACGCCCGGCTAATTTTGTGATTTATTGTAGAGATGAGATCTCACCAAGTTGCCCAGGCTGGTCTTGAACCCGTAGGCTCAGGCAATCCCCTCACCTCGGCCTCCAAAAGTACTGGGATTACAGGCTTGGGCCACCAGGCCCGGCCCAGGCTTGTCTTTATAAAATAACCAGTGCTCACATGAACTATCAAAGTGAGAACTCACTCATTGCTGGGAGGGGCACCAAGTCATTCATGAGCGATCCCCCCATGACACCAACGTCTCCCACCAGGCCCCACCTCCAACATTGGAGAGCACATTTCAACAAGAGATTTGGAGGGGGAAGAACATCCAAACTTTATCCAGTGTCTTCAAGTTTCTCCCGTCTTGATGGCCTCTGCCCAGGCCTCAGATAATGAGTGAAGCCAGAGTATGACGGTGGAGATGGGGAGGGACTGGGAGGGCTGAATCCTTGACTGCAACCCCCTTCAGAGCCTGCAGTTCACTAGCTGTGCACCCAGTCGTCGACTGCAGGCAGGGCAGTCTTCCCCCAAGGCCAACCAATGAAAGCCTTTGTCACTGCCTTTGGTCAAGCCTAGAAAAATCACACTTTGGCTGGGTGCAGTGGCTCACACCTGTAATCCCAGCACTTTGGGAGACTGAGATGGGAGGATTGTTTGAGCCCGGGAGTTTGAGACCAGCCTGGGCAACATAGCGAGACCTCGTCCTACCAAAAATTTAAATTAGCCAGGCATGGTGGCTCACACCTATAGTCCCATCTACTCAGGAGGCTGAAGCAAGAGAATTGCCTGAGGCCAGCAGGCCAAGGCTGCAATGAACCATGATCATGCCACTACACTCCAGCCTAGGTGACAGAGTGAGATCCTGACTCAAAAAAGGAAAATAATCACAATTAGGTGTTTAACCACGAGCTGGACTCCTCACCGTTCACCTCTTCACCCAGACTCTAGGTAGGAGCTCCCAATATTTACGCTGGTTTGACTGGGAGTTTGGTCTCTTGAGCAAAAGCATTTCTGAACCTCTCTCTAAAATCTCACCTCTCATTTTGCACTTATTTTTCATGTTGGCAATTTCCATTCCCTCATGGCCACCA